GTGTTGTGTGCGTGCACACCCGTGTGTGTTGTATGTGCACACCCGTGTGATGTGTGCATGCACACCCGTGTGTGTTGAGTGTGCACACCCGTGTGCGTGTTGCGTGCGTGCACTCTGGTGTGTGCGTTGCGCACGGGAGCACCGGTGTGCACGTTGCATGTGCACACCCGTGTGCGTGCTGCGTGTGTGCACACCCGCGTGTGTTGCGCGCTGCGTGCGTGCGTCTGCTTTCCTACAGCTGCAGGGCTGAGTTTAGCGGACAGGCGTCTCTCCGTGGTGTGCACGGACAGCGTGTTGCCCAGCTGGCGGCCCTGCGTGGGACGCCGCGTGCGTCTCAGCCTCCTCCCCAGGGAGCGTGGGGCTTGGCGTGTGCAGTCTGGGTGCTGGGGTGCTCGATGGTGTTAGGTGTCCCTCCGGCCCGCAGTGCCCGGAGCTGTGCGCAGACCCCGCGTGTGTGCGTACACGAGGGTGCCCTGGTATGCGTGCGCTTCGCCGTGCTCCATGTTTATTCCCCCTGGAATCTTTATCTGCTGAAGACCGTGAGTTTGCAGTGGGTCAAGTCCAACATCCGGGCTCCACCCTACCTTCTCCCCTAAGCAAATGTCTAACTCTTTGCGCCAGTGGTGAGCTGCTGGCCCCTGGACCCCAGCCCACGTTAGCTCCTCTGCCCAGCCCCTCTGCGCCCCGCGGGGCCACCGCTGACCCAGCGCTGCCCCCTCTCCCCGCAGGCTGGGAAGCTGGAGCCCAGGCTGGTGCTGGAGCAGCTGCGCTGCAATGGGGTGCTGGAGGGCATCCGCATCTGCCGCCAGGGCTTCCCCAACCGCATCCTCTTCCAGGAGTTCCGGCAGCGGTGAGCGGTGTGGCGGTGTGGGCGGGCTCGGCGGGGCGGGCTCAGCCGGGGGCGCTCAGGTCCGCGCCCAGGGGCCGCGCGCCAGCCTGGGCCTGGGGCTCGCCTCGCTGGGTCCCGGCTTCCTGTCGCGGGAGGGCGGCGCTGTTCTCGCGAGCTGCCTGGCAGAAAGGGCGAAAAGTGCTCGGTGGCCATGAGCATCCCCTGGAATACAGCGTCTTTGCCCGCCGCTGCGCCGGTGGATTCCCGCAAGCCGGGCGGGGGTGGTCGAATCGTAGCTGTGAGCCGGCTGCAAGTTCCGTGGGGGTGTGAGGGCCCCGGCCCCTCCCCCGCGTGCCCAGGGGTCAGTTAGAAGAGAACAGGGCAGGAACTACCCGGTGCAGAAGTAGATAGTGCGATGCTGGTCACGTAGGAGCGAGTGCCGCTGGGGTCTGGCGTGCCGGCTTGAGGCCCAGGGCAGATGCCAGGGAGAGATTCTGAGCACAGACACATGTGTGTTTACGTGGAATATATGGATTTTACTCTAGCTGTGCTCAGAGATTTGGAAGAAGCTGGGATGAAGGACTTCACTCAGACCCGCACCCCATAAATATTCAGGGGCATCAGCCCTGACTGTCGCTCTCTGAGACACCCTTGTTTGCTGGCACGGTGAAGAGGGGGTGATGTCCCGTTGTGGTCGGGTCACCGGGTGTCTGTGTCCCGAGGGTGATGCGTGCCCAGCCCGGTGTTTTTTGAGGCCGGTGGTAAACGGGTGAAGGTTCATTTTTCTGTTTTGGGACACTACTGTCCTGGTGGCGGTACTCATGGCCCCGTGGCGGGGCCCACGGAGGGCCTACGCTGACCCCACCCTCCCGCCACTGCAGATATGAGATCCTGACACCCAACGCCATTCCCAAGGGCTTCATGGACGGGAAGCAGGCCTGCGAGAAGATGGTGAGGGTGGGGCAGCGCCTGGCGCAGAGACGGGCGTGCGGGGTGGGGGCGTGCGTGGCGTGAGTGCACACATGCACACACACACAGCCCCAGCAGTTGAGCAGGGGCTGGGACCTCCCACCTCATCGCACCCCTCATCCTCCATCCCCCGATCCCTCACAGATCCACGCCTTGGACCTGGAACCCAACCTCTACCGCGTGGGACAGAGCAAAGTCTTTTTCCGGGCGGGGGTGCTGGCCCATCTGGAAGAGGAGCGAGACCTGAAGGTCACAGACATCATCGTGTCCTTCCAGGCAGCTGCTCGGGGATACCTGGCTCGGAGGTGGGCCACCGAGCTCTCTGTAGGGCCCGTGGACCAAGGCTGGGCCAGAGGGGTAGACCAGATGGCCCAGGATGTAGGCGAGCGCTGCCCCCTGCCGTCTGGCCTCGCGGTGATAAAAGGCGTCTGGAGCGAGCTGCATCACCTCCGCGCCTGTGCGGGTTGGTCGTCCAGCCCCCGCCGCCCCCATGAGCCAGGCAGGCCATGTCCAGGGTCTCGAGAAGAGCCCCTGGGTGTCTGCATCAGACATTGCCAGTCCTGGCAGTGATAAAACGGAGTAGCTCTGGGCAGACGAGTGAGGCTGCAGCCCGGGGACTCCAGCTTCGGAGGGACACACGTGGACACCAGCTGTCCTCTATGGGGTGGTAGAAATTCAGCGGGACCCCTGCTGCAGACCAGACACCCCCAGGGCACACTCAGTGGCAGGCCCATGTAGGAGGATGGAAACGTCTCCCAGCAAGGAGTCACAGCCCGCGCAGAGGACCCGGGACAGATGAGAGAGCTGGAAGCATTCCAGGATCGGAGTCTCCTTCCTCCTTGGAACTGGCCCCGAGGAAAGCCCAGAAAGGAAAGGGCTCCCCCTCTGCCAGGCTGAGGGCGAGGACCTCAGCCTGTGGGTCTGTGGGGACAGAGCAGAGGGCAGAGGGACTGCGGGGGGCTGCACTCGTAGCGGGGGACAGGCCTGCAGGGGCCTAACCTGCCCCCTCCTGCGTGCCGCCTGCCCACCCAGAGCCTTCCAGAAGCGGCAGCAGCAGCAGAGTGCCCTGAGGGTGATGCAGCGGAACTGTGCAGCTTACCTCAAGCTGAGACACTGGCAATGGTGGCGCCTGTTCACCAAGGTGAGGCACAGGCCCCGGGGCCAGCCCTGCTTGGGAGGTGCTTGCCCCGTGAGCCCTGGTTTTCTGCATCTGTGAAACGGGACTGCACCACCCAGCCTTTGTGAGCCAGATTCACTAGGGAGCAAGTGCCTAAAGTCTGACTTAAAGCGCAATGCACAAAGCTGTGCTGGACCGAGACAGCTTCAGGTACAGCGGGCCCAGGACAGGTGCAGGCCCGGAAGACCACTTCCCCCAGCAGGGAGTCCGGGGAGGGCGAGTCTCTGGCGGAGGAGCAAAGGCTCACAGCGCTGCCTGCTAACATCTGCCCATCTGAGCTCTCGTCTATTCCGAAAGCCCAGCGAGGTGGGGGCTGTTACGGTGTCTGTCTCAAGACGAGGACACAGAGCGCCTGCTCGAGGTCACGCAGCCAAGTCCTGGAGGAGTCGGACAGACCTCCAGGCACTGGAGCCCGAGCGTGAGCGCTTAGCTCCCGGTCAAGGAGTCGTTCCCGCCCTCTAGGTGAAGCCACTGCTGCAGGTGACCCGGCAGGATGAGGTGCTACAGGCGCGGGCTCAGGAGCTGCAGAAAGTGCAGGAACTGCAGCAGCAGAGCGCCCGGGAAGTGGGCGAGCTCCAGAGCAGGCTGGTACAGGTGAGGCGTGGGCGGGGCCTCTCTGGGCGGGGCCTCTCTGGGCGGGGCCTCTCTGGGCGGGGCCTGGTAGGGCGGACCTTTGTGGGCGGGACCTAGTACGGGCGGGGCTTTGTGGGCGGGGCCTGGCTGCCCTGATTGGGGTGGAGCCCTTGCGGTGGGGTTGGGCTGACCTGGGATGTGACCCAGGCAGGACTGTGGGGTGAAGGTGTCGGGTTGGGGTGCACTGAGGTTCAGTAAGGGCTGAAACTCTGGTGTAGTTGAGCCATGCTGTGCAGGAAGAGGGATGCTGGGACTATAGCCAGGGTCTGGGGGTGCAGTTGAGGTCTGCTTAGTAAGATGCTCAGGGGTCTGAGCCCCAGGACCCAGGACCCGACAGAGGTCCAGCCACCTCGCAGGAGAGACTGGAGGCTGGGAGGAGGCTGGAGAGAGTCCACTGGGAGGGGACGAGACCAGAGTCTATAAGGGGAGAGGGAGCAGGAGTCGTCGGCAGGCACTTTGGGGCCAGGTGGGCCGTGGGAGGTGAGGAGGAGGAAGGCGCCCAGGGGTCCGGCTCAGTGACTAGGGAGACGTGAGGCCATCCTGAGATGTTGGCCTGGGGGTACAGCAGGGTTGGGGGACCGTGTGTCCTGTCCCTTAGGCCTCAAACGGCAAAGCAAATCAGGGGGCAGGAGGACCTGGTGCTCGGCCCAGGGCCATCCTGGGAGCACTACCTGCTCGCCACTGACCCCTCCCCAGCTGGAGGAGGAGCGCACCCGCCTGGCAGACCAGCTGCGAGCAGAGGCAGAGCTGTGCGCCGAGGCCGAGGAGACGCGAGGGCGGCTGGCGGCCCGGAAGCAGGAGCTGGAGGTGGTGGTGTCGGAGCTGGAGGCCCGCGTGGGGGAGGAGGAGGAGTGCAGCCGCCAGCTGCAGACCGAGAAGAGGAGGCTGCAGCAGCATATACAGGTCTGGCCCAGAGCTGCTTCTCCCTGCCCCCACCCCACTTCTCCCTACCCCCACCCCGCTGTCTCCTACTCCCACCCCTTCTTTGCTCCTGTCAGCAGTGCTCTTTTGGAAAAAGTGTGCAGGAAACTCAGCTCAAAGTGGCTGAGTTCAAACCACCCATAAACTCCAGCAAGTGTGGCCTTCAGGTACGGCTGGCTCCAGGTGCTGAAGCAACAGCCTCAGCCTCTCAGCTTCTGGCCTTCCTTGCTGCTATGCTGTGTGTTCACGGCCCCTCAACGCCCAGTGTGTACCCTACGAAACTTCTCCATCAGATGCTAAATGTGCAGGACACATACAGTAACTTCCTCGGAGACAATGACTTTAAACAAAATAACATACTAGACTGATTTTGCTATCAGCAAATGGCTATAAACCAGGTAACATGCCGTCATCAGACTTCTGCTCACAAAACATCACCCAGCTTCTCAATAAACACCCCCAAACACGCCTCATAGTAAACAGTCATCTTACAGCCGTTCGTTCATTTTCCAACTCACTCCAGTTAAGTGGTGGCCAGAGGCCAAAGCTTCTGCTTTGCCTGGGTGACAGGGGAGGACGGCCGTGGATGAGACTCTCGCGGAAGGTCACCTCAAGCCCATCCCCACACTCAGCACGCACATCTTTGGGGTGAGGGAGGAAACCAGGGTTTGCAGGAAAAACTCACACAGGCGTGGGGAGAACAGCAGACTCACAAATCAGTATTTTCATCAACATTATAATGTGACGGGGTGGGGTGGGGCTGCACTTAGCCATTGGGGGCCGTCCCAGTGTCCCCTGCATCTGCTCAGCAGGTATTTTTACACCTGAATTTCCAGTCTGACATGAGCCTGGTCACTCCCAGAATGGACAGTGCCCATCCAGAGCACATAATGTATTTTGCACGTTATCACCAGTATGTCTCTTGTGCACAATCGTCACACACGTGAACGCATTTGCCGCCAGGACAGTGCCGTGTGTCTCCCCGCTGCTGGCCTGGCGCTCAGTAAATGCTTGCCCACTCTGAATGAATGAAACAGGAAAGGCCAGCCAGGGCTTGCTCCTTCCCAGCCAGCATGGAGCGGCCTGAGCTGTGGGCCTTCAGGTGCGCTTGGTCCGGGCCGCCCCGGCCTACGCTGCGTGCTCACGGCCCCTCTGCAGCCAGTGTGTACCCTAGGAAACGTCTCCGTCAGATGCTACATGTGCCAGGCCAGCAGTGGGGGTCCGTGAAGGCCCCCCCACCCCAGGCCCCTCCCGCACCCCTGAGCCCTCCCTCTTCCTACCCCAGGAGCTGGAGACCCACCTGGAGGCTGAAGAGGGGGCTCGGCAGAAGCTGCAGCTGGAGAAGGTGACCACGGAGGCCAAGATGAAGAAGTATGAGGAAGATCTGCTCCTCTTGGAAGACCAGAACGCCAAGCTGAGCAAGGTGGGGCCCGGGCGGGCGAGCAGGAGCGCAGGGGCCTCTGTGTCCACGCCGGCCAGGCGGGCTCTCCCTTCAGCCTGTTCTCTCTCCGTGTCGCCCTGTGTCACACCTTCACTCAAGCAGGTGCTGACCGAGAACCTCCCATGTGTCTGCCTCCCAGGCACCCCAAAGGGGCGTGGCAACAGCCACCGCCCCATTCTCGCCGTGGCCCTGTGGTCACCCGCACAGTTCCTCCGCTGGCCTCTCTCGGAACTCGTGGCTGGGGCTGCCACCTCCGTGGGGCCTCGGTGCCCACCTGAGAGCCTGCATTTGGCAGCGGGGCTCTGAGAGAGGAACCAGAAGCAGCCTGGCCCGGGAAGGCTCAACCCGGACATGAGGCCGCGTTACCGGGTTACGGGAGACCAGCTGTGGGCAGTTTCTCTGAAAGGCCAGCTGGGAAATATTTGAGGCTTGAGGGCCACTCCTCCGTTCCGTCATCCTCGGTTATGTCCGGAGACATAACCCAGTGGGCGTGTCCGTGTGCCAATAAAACTTAATTCACAAGAACAAGTGGCGGCCCCCAGGTTTGGCCTGCAGGCTGCTTGCCTGAGCCCAAAGCGGACGCAGTCAGCCCAGATTTGGGAGCACATATGGGGGACGCGGTGGAAAAGCCACTGCCCCCCAGCTTGCTGTAGAGACTAGACTAGGTACAGAACATGGCACAGAGCCAACTAGAAAGCCACTTATGCCCCTCACAGGGAGCAGAGCAAGAGGACAGAAGATGAGTACCCCACCCCACACTGTCACTTAGTTATCAACTGACAGAAAAGAATGGAAAACCGGGGGGGCGGGGGGCCTGACCTGTCCTGGAGGTGTTCAGGGAAGATCTCCGTGAGGATCGGCGCCTGAGCTGAGCGAGTGAGGATGCAGAGGCGCTTTCTGGAGTAGTCCTTGGTGCAACGGCCAGGAAGAGAGATAGCAGGGGTGTTGGGGGACGGGACGAGGAAGCGGGACGCCCGTGGGGAGTCCAGACTGCTGTCTGTCCCCATCCGCTGCCTTGAGCGGCTTCAGAGAGGCCAGCTGGGGAGGCCCCGAGACGCAGCAGTGACCAGCAGTCCGGATGCGGGTGCTGTTGGGCCCGGCCGCGTGTTGAGCAGGAGTCCAGGCCTCCCCCCGGTGAGGGTGTCAGTGCGGTGTGGCTCACCCATCAGTTTCAACACCTCGAGGCGAACGCGAGATGCTGCGTTTAGGGTTTAGGGAGGTGTCCAGACGCTGACGGAGTCCAGAGAGCTGGGGGGCTGAGGCTGAGCCTCCCCAGGACAGTTTTCTACGCTGCAAGGAAAACATCGGACATTTCAAGGAGTCTCACAGAGAGTCTGGGGGGGCCCGGCTGTGCCTCTGTGCCTTGAGGGAAACAAGGAAGGCGGCCAACGCGGCCGTTGTGTGTCCAGCCGCCCTCCCTGGGGCGGGGCGTTCTACACGCCGGAGACATCTTTACTGTTGCGCACGCAGTTGCTTCACCCCTCCAGTCCACGTTGGCGTGCACCCCTTAATGAGCCCGGGGAGGGGCACCCTTTTAATTGCTGCTTCGTAGTAGCCAGTGTCCATCAGCCGGATGAGGGGCTGGCGGTGTACTTCAAATAACGGGGTCACACCTGTGGTGGGATGGGAACAGAGCCCAGAGTGGGAGAAGGAAGGACCCACGGCCCTGCTGGCTCCTGACCCCCCTGTCCCCCACATGCAGGAGCGGAAGATGCTGGAGGAGCGTCTGTCCGAGTGCTCGTCCCAGGCGGCCGAGGAGGAGGAGAAGATCAAGAGCCTCAATAAACTTCGGCTCAAATACGAGGCCACCATCGCGGACATGGAGGGTGAGCGCCCGCGAGGGGGTGCACGGGCAGGCTCCCCGGGCCTCCCAGTCCAGTCTGCTAAGTGGGGCCAGGAGTGGAGGCCCAGGCCGGATGGGGCACCCCAGCTCGCTCGCCGCTGTGTCAGAGCCAGTGCTGTGCTGTTCTGTCTGCCAGGCTGCGCTGCAGGCATGGTCATCCCTTGCTGCTGACTGGGTGTCGGCGACCGAAAGGGGAGAGCGCAGGAGGAGGGTGGGAGACGGGGTGCGGAATGGGCAGCGGTGAGGAGCGGGACAGCAGTGGGGGTGTGACCCCGGGCCTGGCCGGCAGTCGGGTGGCCCCGAGGCAAGGAGCTGGCAAGCCGTGGAGGTGACGGGCACGCTGAGCTCAGGCACCCCGCCGCGGGGCTCCGCGGGTTCCTCGGGGGTGTGGGCCCCGGGCCCTCACGCAGGCCCCCACACCCGCCCCCAGACCGCCTGCGGAAGGAGGAGAAGGGCCGCCAGGAGCTGGAGAAGCTGAAGCGGCGCCTGGACGGCGAGAGCTCGGAGCTGCAGGAGCAGATGGCCGAGCAGCAGCAGCGGGCTGAGGACCTGCGGACCCAGCTGGGCCGCAAGGAGGAGGAGCTGCAGGCGGCCTTGGCCAGGTGTGGAGGGGCGGGGCCAGGGGCGGGGCCGGCCCGATGGGCGGGGCTGGTGAAGGGCGGGGTCAGGGGCAGGGCGGGCCCGAGGGGCGGGGCCAGGGAAGGGCTGGGCGAGGCCGGATACCTACTGTGTGCGGGGCATCGGGTATTGCAAATGATTTCTGCCCCCTCCCCACCTCGTGCTCCGTGCAACCTGAACGGGGTACAGAGAGGTGAAAATTGAACAATGGCACAATGCAGTCCGAGCACATGGGGTGGGGGCGGGGCCAGTCAGAACGCGGGTCGGACGCTGGCATCCAGGACGCTGTGCCCCTTTCTGGCCACATGACCTGACCCTTCTCTGCCTGTTTCTTCAGCAGGAGTGACTGTAGAAACCCCTCCTGGACTCGCCAACAGTGCTGGGTGGGGTTGAGGAACCTGACACAGTTTTTCTTTTTCTTTGGATTGAGCCGAATTCACTAAACAAAATCAACCACTTTTTAAAGTACATGATTCAGTGCGCCCTTCGCCCATTCATAAGGCACTAAGCACCCCTCTGTCTAGCTTCAAAAGGAAGCCCGGTGCCTCTGAATAGCCGCCCCCACCCCACTCTCCCTGCCTGCCCAGCCTCTGGCAAGCAACAGTCCACTTTCTGTCCACATAGGATTGGCCGCTTCTGGACTTTTCACCTGTGAGGGTCACACACAGCCTTTTGCTCCCCATTCTTGTTCTGATGCCTCACAGCAGCCCTTGGTAGGGGGGTCTCGCAGCCCTGAGGCTGCCCCTGGCCAGGGCAGGTGACCAAGCTCAGGCTGCAAACCCCGGTGGAGATCTTCAGCCCCGCCGCCCTGCACTGGCTTGGGTCTGGCAGAGCTGCGTCCTGTGGGGGCTGTGAGCTCCGGCCCCGCTCAGCCCTGCCCCTCGCTGGTGGCGTGACCGGTTCTGGGCCTGTGTCCTCATTTGGTGGTGACCTAAAGAGGCACGGCCAGTCCAGCATTCGCGGGCATTGGGAACTGCAGGCCCCAGAAATCACCCCTGCCCCTGGCCTGCCCCATACCAATGCCAGGGTCCTTGTCCACCCCAGGGCAGAGGAGGAAGGTGGGGCCCGGGCCCTCCTGCTCAAATCCCTGCGGGAGACACAAGCAGGACTGGCCGAAGCCCAGGAGGACCTGGAGGCCGAGCGCCTGGCCAGGGCGAAGGCGGAGAAGCAGCGCCGGGACCTGGGCGAGGAGCTGGAGGCTCTGCGGGGTGAGCTGGAGGACACGCTGGACTCCACCAACGCTCAGCAGGAGCTCCGGTGAGGCCGGGCACATGCAGGGCGGCGGGAGGGTGAGGAGGTGGACTTGGGATGAGCCCTCTGTCTATGCAGAGGTTTTGTCGCTCCCCAATTTATGGAGCACCAGCTGTAGGCCAAGCCACAGGCAGGGATGAGTGAGACCCAGGCATGGCCCCCAGGAACATCTTCCGGGTCTGGGAGAAGCAGAATCAGGAAGAGACGCAGTCCGGGAAGCAGGTTTTAATGGAGTAGCACAGGGATGACAAGAGAATCCATGTCTGTGAGAAGCAGACCAGGAAGATCTCCATGAGGAGGGGCTTTTAAAGCAGGGTTTTGAAGGATGTGTAGGAGTTCACCCATAAAGCCACCCTGCTACAGCATCATTGCCCAGATCCCCTGGGTATCCAGAGTGAGGTCCTCTTCTTTGGGAAATAACGACAGGAGTCACCCCAGCTGTCAGGGGTCCCTGCCTTCCTCTATTTTAAAGTTCTGTTCCCTGCCTTTTGCCCCCAATAAAAGGTCCAAGAGGGAACAGGAGGTGACAGAGTTGAAGAAGGCTCTGGAGGAGGAGGCACGTGTTCATGAGGTGGCTGTGCAGGAGCTGAGGCAGCGCCATGGCCAGGCCCTGGGAGAGCTGGCCGAGCAGCTGGAGCAGGCCCGAAGGGTGAGCGGGGCAGAAGCCAGAGGCCTGGCAGGTCACTGGGCGGGAGGACAGGAGCCGGGCCGGAGGAAGTGCCTCTGGCGGGTTCTAGGCTGCATCCTGTCTCCAGGCTCTTGCTCCTCAGCAGCGTTACTGAGGACCTACGGCCTCCAGGCCACACCAGGACACCAGTGCTCATTCTGTTCCCACAATGGCCACTATCCCCCCACCCTCTTCCCTTGTGGAGCGCATTTTAGTGGGGGAGGCGGAGAGTAGACCACAGGGCCACTTTCACAATGGCTAGCAGGCCAGTTAAGTGCTGCAGGGAAAGCCATGACCAGGAGAGGGGGCACCGGGGTGCTGAGTGGGGGCTCTTGAAGAGAGAGGCCATGCTTGTGCGAGTCGGCGACCGCTGAGGAAACGCCCAAGAAGAGAGAGGGGTGAGCCGTGCGGAGGTCAGGGAGACGGAGATCCAGGCAGCGGGCGCAGTCCGTGCAAAGCCGCCGCGTGGCCATCCTGCAGTGGGCGTGGCCAGCCCGGGGTGGGCGCGTGCGCACGTGGGGGGGACCGTCAGCCCTTGCTGCCTCCCCAGGGCAAGGGCGCGTGGGAGAAGACGCGGCTGGCGCTGGAGGCCGAGGTCTCGGAGCTGCGGGCGGAGCTGAGCAGCATGCAGACTGCGCGCCAGGAGGGCGAGCAGCGGAGGCGCCGCCTGGAGTTGCAGCTGCAGGAGGTGCAGGGCCGGGCCGGAGATGGGGAACGGGCCCGAGCGGAGGCCGCCGAGAAGCTGCAGCGAGCCCAGGTGAGGGCCGCAGGGCCGCCGGCCTGCCGTGTGACCGCGTGCTCCCCCCCTCTGGGCCGGTCTGACCCGCACTGGCCTCCGCCCCTAGGACTTCTCCAGCGCGCTCAAGCGCCGGTAGCTGGTGCTGGGTGCACAGTTAGCGTCACCCCAGCGGCCTGCGTGTTACACTCAGTCCCCCCGACTCTCCTCAGCGGGAGGACTGGGGCGTAACTCAGACTGTGTAGTCTCCCACTTACAACGCAGTGGTTTCTGCACATTCAGAGCTGTACAACAGCCGCCGGAGTCTATCTTGAGGGTGTTTCATGACCCCCAATAGAAAGCCTGTCCCCTAGCTATCATCCCCCACCTCGCCCCTCGGCCCCCATGGCTGTCTCCTTCACCTCCCTCTTCGAACCATCGGCCAGACAGTCACGTGCGTTGGCCCTTTCCGGTCAGCTGCCCACGCGGATGCTGTCCCGGCTCGTCCTGTCGTGATGTGCACAGGACTTGAGCTCTTTACCCGCCTCACTGTCTGGACAGGCAGCCTCCCCGGGTGACGGACATGGGGGTTGTTTTTGCTTCTGAAAGCGGCGGTGGTGGGCGTTTCCGGACACCCCTCTGCACAGATGTCTGTGCCCGGCACTCTCAGGCACGCACCAGGAGCGGAATTGCCAGGTCACAAGGCCCGTTTGAGGCATGGCCAGGCCAGGCCAGGCCAGTGGACAGTCCCACCATCCATGTGTGGTAGAGATCTGTGGTGCGGGAGCGGAGGCGCCTCGGGATGGACAGTCATTGGAAGGTGCCCCTTCCCCGCAGACGGAGCTGGACAACGTGTCGGGGGCGCTGAGCGAGGCCGAGTCCAGGGCCATCAGGCTGAGCAAGGAGCTCAGCAGCGCGGAGGCCCAGCTGCATGACTCCCAGGTGACCCCATGCACCCCGCACCTCCGGCCCCTCCCCTCCCACCCTCGTCACCACACCTGATGTCCATTCTCCCTCCGTGCACAGGAACTCCTGCAGGAGGAGACCAGGGCGAAGCTGGCCCTGGGGGCCCGGGCACGAAACCTGGAGGCTGAGGCCGCGGGGCTTCGCGAGCAGCTGGAGGAAGAGGCCGCAGCGCGGGAGCGGGCCGGCCGGGAGCTGCTGACGGCCCAGGCGCAGGTGAGCCATCCCGCAGGGGGTCTGGGGGGCCCCAGTATCTCATGGGATGCCCCACTATGGGAGCGAATGGGGGCCCCCTCAGAGGGATAGATCTGGGTCTCCAGCAATGCCCAGCATAGACCCCGAGGTTTGGGAGGTGTTGAGCGATGCCTACGGAGTGAGCGAGGGATGGATGCACCTTGCAAATACCCCTTTCAACTGGCAAACTTCTGTGCTTATTCCGAGATCCATCGCCAATACTCCTCCTCCAGGAAGTCCCTCAGGAATGTTCTAAGCCCCTCCTGTTGATTCCCACAACCCCCCCCTTCCTCTTAGTCTCCATCACTGGGCTGTGATGTCCAGTCCCCCACCAGAAGGGGGCTGCAGATTCTTCTCTTTGTCTGGGCAGGAAGCATTTTAATGTCCTGGGACTCAGAAAACTGACAGCCTCAGGCCTTCACCGAGACACAAGGGCACAGTGGAGGGAGCCCTGCCACGTTCTCTTCAGGCCTCAGTTTCCCTCTGGGCACGGGGGCATCGCCAACCACCCGTTGGCCACATGCGGGCCACCCACCCTCTCTCTCCTGCACCCAGCTCTCAGAGTGGCGCCGGCGCCAGGAGGAAGAGGCCGGGGCCCTGGAGACCAGTGAGGAGGCGCGGCGCCGGGCTGCCCGCGAGGCTGAGGCCCTGACCCAGCGCCTGGCGGAAAAGGCCGAGGTGGTGGAGCGGCTGGAGCAGGGCCGCCGGCGGCTGCAGCAGGAGCTGGACGACGCCACCATGGACCTGGAGCAGCAGCGGCAGCTCGTGACCTCGCTGGAGAAGAAGCAGCGCAAGTTCGACCAGGTGGGGCACTTGGGGGCATGTGGGGGGACCCTGGGGCACAACACTGCTCGCGTCCAGCCTGGCTTACGTCTCTTGTACCCACGTAAGGGGGTATCGACGGTTTCCCCCTTTGACTCCCAAAGCATCCTGCGGGGTCAGAGGATGCTTGTGGGGGTTGAATGAAAAGCCACCATCTGCTTCTCTCCTGACTCGCTGTACCCCAGGCACGCTGCTTGTCCCCTTTCGGCCTTGGTTTACCCATCCAGAAAACAGGGGTAGTATTAAGCAACGGACGACCTGAGGCTAAATAAAAACCACTTACCCAGCGCACTAGGGGCAGGCGGCCCCAAGGTTCGAGTCCCGGCTCGGCTCCTCTCTGGCTGTGTGGCTCGGGCAGGTGGATCCGCCCTTCTCGGCTTCGTTCTTCACCTAGGAAGTGGGAAAGCAGTTGGCGAGTCAGTGCTGAAAGCTACTTTCACTGGCTACAGAATGCGAGGTTGGCAGTGTCACTCCCCAGCGTTTTGAAAGCCCTTTCATGGTGATCTCTGCTGCCAGCTTCAGAGGATAAGTCAGTCATCTGCAAGTGTTTTATGATATGATGTGGTTTTATAGCTTTTTTTTCCTCTTTATCTTTGGTTTTTAGCTGTTTGGCTATGACCCAGCCAACTGTGGGCTCTGTGGTGCTCGCTTTTGTCTGCCAGGATTCCTATAGTTCTGGGTTGATGAGGGTCAAATGTGGAAATTTTCAGCCATGTTTCTTCAAATATTTTTCTTCCCCATTCTCTTTTCCCCGTCTTCTCCAAATACATATTGTTTTTCTTAACACTGTCCCAGAGATCACCAAGCTTCTATTAATGTTTTTGTTTCTTCTAGAATTTTATGTAAATCTCAGTTACTTCTTCATTTAGAATAATTCTTTTGAGATTCAGCCATGGATTTTGCAGGTACAATCCGTTCCCTTTTCCACTGCTGAGTATTGTTACTGTATGGGCAAATCACATTCACCCATGGAGTTTTTCCAGGTATTTCATGATTTGATCCATGTTGAATTATGTTGTTTTTATCCCAGCTTCGGATTGTTGGTTCAGTTGACCTTTGAAAAAGAGATTGCAGCAGTCTAACATCAGCATTAACTTCTGACTCCCCCAGAACTTAAACACAGTCATCCTTCAGTTTCAGAACCCACACACAGCCCCCATATCTAAATTCATGGATACCCCAATCCATTATTGCCAACCAACTGTATTTATGGAGTCAACCAACCTGAGACATCAGAGTCAAAAATTCGCACACACATGAACCCCGCATTCAAACACCAACCGTACATAGGAACTAGTTAGATTTCGCATAGTATCTCTCCTGCTCCAGTCTAACCAGACTCATTTACTAGCTGCAGGAGACGTTCTGTAGATCCCCATTATCGTCATGTTCTCTGTGATAAAGACAGATTTGACTTCTTCCTCTCCTTTCTCTTTACCGTTCCTCTGGGACTACAAGCACGGCGATGTCACATTGCTTGATGCTCTCAAAGCTTGCTAAAGCTCGGTCAGTATTTTCAGTCTTCTCTTCCTTTGCTCTGTTCAGATCATCCCCCCCGACCTGTGTTCAGAGCTCCTGCTTTTTCCAGTGTGCCTGCTCTGCTGTCAATGTCATCCAGTGACTTTTTGATTTCAGATGGTGTATTTTTGAGTTTTGGCATTTCTATTTGGTTCTGCATTAGAGTTTCAAACCCTTGCGAGTGACCTTGTCTTTTCACCCATTGTATCCACTGTGTCCTCAAAGTGTCAGAGTTGAAGCCCTGAGTGAAAATCCCATGTCCGTCATCTGTGGTTCTATTTTACAGACTGATCTTTCTCTTGACTGTGAGTCTGGGTCTCTTCCTGTTTCCTTAGTTTTATTGCTTGCCAGTAACTGTCTTTTAAAAGACAGATTCCTTTGCGGTGTATCTCAAATGAGGGACTGATGGGTTTGGTCAATTGAAGGGTTGAGTGGTTTGGCGACATGGTTGCAACTGTAATCCCTCTACATTCCTCTCGTATCTCTCTCTGCCCCCCTCTTCCCCAGCCCTTACACAAGCCCCTCAGCTAATCTATCATGCCCCACCCTGTCTCCCTCCACTGAAGCTTCTGGCAGAGGAGAAGTCTGCCGTGCTGCGGGCAGTGGAGGAGCGTGAGCGGGCCGAGGCGGAGGGCAGGGAGCGCGAGGCTCGGACCCTGTCACTGACCCGGGCGCTGGAGGAGGAGCGGGAAGCGCGCGAGGAGCTAGAGCGGCAGAACCGGGCCCTGCGGGCTGAGCTGGAGGAACTGCTGAGCAGCAAGGATGATGTGGGCAAGAGTGTGAGTCGGGCTCCCAGCCCCCCCAGGCTCCCTGGGCAGCTGCACGGGTGTGTGGTGTCAGGAGACACGCACACACATGGCCGCACACACAGAGCTTGAAGGGGACCGGCCATCACAACAGCAGGTTCACACACGGGCACAGACAGCCCAGCTCACCACCCAGCGTGGCAGGAGACTCCCCCAGCAAACACGAGTGTACACACACAGACACACAAAGTGACACACAGACACACAAAGTAAGCAGAGCCAGGCAACAAAATACACATTCACGGATTCACAGACTCTTCTGTCGAGCACACACACAGTCCGGGACATACGTGTCCGCATGCAGACACTACAGCGAACAGGCTCTTTCACCCCTCGTGCATGACTGTGTGTGTTTGTGTGTGTGCACAGAGCGTCAGAACCTCACGTGCTCCCGTGAGTGAGCACGGAGCTGGGCACAGCACACAGCCCGAGAAACACTCCCCAACACAGACACAGACACACACAGACGTGCCACATGCATCTCAGACCCTCACCCGTGCACACATCACGCACATGACACAAACTCCACATGACACACAGCACACACACACTCTCCGGTCCATCTCGTCACCCCACCCCTGAACCCCACAAGGCCCCCACCAGGCCTCCATCTTCCCTTGCTCACACATCCCTATAGGAACTGCGAGGGGTGCCCCAGGCCTGTTCCTGGGTCCTGCTCACTCAGTGAGCACCCCAACCTTCCGCATGCTCCATTGCACCCCACTTGCTTCTTCACCCAATAAATACCTCTTTGGAGCACTGGCTGGGACAGGCCCAGGGACAGGACCCCTGGCGGAGGCGCTGAGAGGATCCACGAGCCCCAGGGCCAGTACCCCGCCCTCCCACTCGGTGACCAGGTGCCCACTCCTCGCCACCAGGTGCACGAGCTGGAACGAGCCCGCAGGGTGGCCGAACAGACAGCCAGCGACCTGCGGACGCAGGTGACAGAGCTGGAGGACGAGCTCACCGCCACAGAGGACGCTAAGCTGCGCCTGGAGGTGACGGTGCAGGCCCTCAAGGCCCAGCACGAGCGGGACCTGCAAGGCCACGATGAGGCCGGGGAGGAGCGACGGCGGCAGCTGGCCAAGCAGGTAGGCGGGGCCGTCAGCCAGGTGGGCCTGGCGCTTCCTGGCAGCATGGTCGCCAGTCTCACCCACCGCCGGCCACCTGGCATTTCCACCGGGGTCCCTCCTGCCTGCCAAGCACCCCTTCCCACAGAGCCCTCCTGTCCCCAACTCACCAGCTCACTGAACCCACAGTGCTGACCTCTTGATGCTCCCAGACCACACCCAAACCACTTGCCCACCCACGTGCCGCCCCTGCCTCAGCTTCCCAGACACCGCATCTTCCCCACTCTCCATGGCCGTCCCCTCCCCACACAACTCCCCATTTCTAAGCCACCGGCTCTCCCCACACCAGCAAGCTGTGTTAGCCCAAGCCCCCCCC